TATCAAAACGAGGTTTAAGAACGTTTTCAATCCTCCTGAATGCATTGCAAGTCTAAAACAGACAAGACACTTCCTCCTCAAGAACTACTGCAGGAATTACCAAAGCTGAACTATTTTTCTACCAGACTGATGGGTACCACTGCCAAAAAGCATATAGTTTGTGCTTCAGGAGAGCTGATCTATACTCACCTAACACTTAGGTTACTTTGGCAAGAAATAGGAGTGTGGGCTGTATTTACAGGTTGTTTGTCTAGCCACTATTCACTGCTGGCAGGTTAACCTACGTGAGCCAGTACCTAGCAAGATCTGGTTATAGTCTTCCCTAGGAATACTATGGTAATAAACAGTGTGTACATCTCAAACCTTACCACATTACTTTTTAAAACTTTTTTTTTTTTTAGTTTCATTCTGTCATTGGAAATGAGGAAAGGAGCAATAAAGAACTCAATTTTTTAAAACTCTTATCTTGTCTCAGTTTTTATAGTATTAACATTGATTTTTCATTTTTGATCTAGAAGCCACTGTATCATTTCCTTTAGAGATTTTGCAGCAAGTTTAAGAAGCTGTTAGCATCACAAGCTACATAGTGACTTCACCACAACTGAAATGTTGAAGGCAACACGTTGCTGCTTCAGCAACAGTCCAGGAGGCTGACAGCTACGCAGAAAAGGGGTCTGAACTTCAGTCCTTGCTCTGGTGGTGACAGAAGCAGAACGGGCTCTAGCAGGGCTCTGCTACATTGAGCGACAAGCACAGCAACAGCAGAGCTCACATCTCCCCATCCAACTACACCTATCGACTGCTGCCTGCGTAAGGGAAGCAGCATACTGCTACTTCATCTTCCTGCAGTCTTGAGTAGTTGCTACAGAGAACTTCCTGCATAAATATACAGGGTAATATTTGGGTCTAAACATAGAACTTAAATAAGGGAATAATTATGAAATGATTTATTATATTTTGCCTCCCTGCTAGAACATAACTATTTCACCGATTAGTTGAAACAATGATTTAATATACTGCTTTAAATGTTGTTTTGAACATTCCCTTGTTCAAAGGGAAAAAAAGCACCTCAAAGATTCTGTATTTTGATAAATCTATAAAAAAATCCAATATATGAAACAGCATTTTATATAAATGTGGTTATCATATTAGAAGTCCTCTAATGGTCGCAGCAATAAACCCTCTGAACACTCACCTGTGCTAATTTAGTGGTTGATTTAGAAGCCCTCAGTGTTTTCTTGTTGTAAGCTTTACCATTCATTTTGATCTTAGATACAGACGTTCCTCCACTTTTTGTCTTAGTATCCCGAGTGATCACTGTCAGTTCAGGAAAGTTTTCCAAAGCGTTCTTTAAACAGCATATAAAGAAAAAGGATTATGAAAAAATCAAGAATGGCCAGCTACCCAGACTGCTGATAAATTGGCCATTTTTCTTGAAAAGTTAGAGTGCAGCCTATTATAAAGCAATTTATTCTTCCACAAAGACCTGATAAAAGGTCTTTATCCTATCAAGCAACTATACAGTTTGAAAGGCTTGACCACCTGTTCTTGACTACTGTAATTTTTCAAGACAAGAAGATCCTTTTATTGTATCTCAGATATCATCTGTGATTCTTTCATTAGAAAGAGCAAAAAAAGGCTCCACTAGGCAATTTTTGCCTTTTAAAATGCTTTCCATTCCATTTCTACCCAAGAATCTCTAAGGCCAAGTTACTTGGAGATGCCTAAATACTTAATTCCTAATGAGGCATGGGAAGTCAGCCAACTGCAGCAGGGATTGGATGCCTAAATATCTTCATCGGTTTTGTCCCAGCTTTTGCAAAATACAAATTAATCGCATCGTATCACATCTGCAAGGTAGAAAAGCTTATGCACAGTGAAGTAGATGGCTGGTTCAAAAAAGCACAAGTCTTTAAGACACAATAATTGACGGGAGTGAACTGCATTTCTACCAGCTTCAGTTCTGCATCATTTGTGTGAGTCAATTTGAGTACAACTTCATTGTACAAATACAGCCTTGTGTTAGCAGATGCTTTGGAATAGTTCTGTTATGCTATATAATCTGGTCCTGAAAAAAATATTTCCAGTTAAATGAACATATACATCTTTGTATGCAGGGGAAAATCAAGCATACAGAAAAATGTATCAATGCTGCAGCTTAAGGAGCTAAATTTGGACTACCGGGTTAAAATATGAAATTGACTGTATTGTTGTATTTTCTTTTAACAAGCAGTACTAGAATTCAACAACCTCCCCTGCCTATAATTTCTTAGCCCTTCATATACATCAGCCATTTTTCCCTTTACAAAATAACCTTCTCAGTCAAGAGCCATAAAATCTACTACTGCACAGAGGTAGTTGCATAGCGGTAGTAGTAACCTTAACTAGCTAACCTGTCCGCATACAATATTCATTGCAATGCTTTCAAACTGGAACAACTTCAGCAGGTTTAAATTACTTAGTTTTTCTATCCACTGTAACAGCATTCCTGAAGGTTGACTTTGAGTGTCAAGGGACTTTGGTCGTTTCTGCTTTCCTCTGGAGAATTCCTATTAACCAGAAGGGCTTACATGGCTGGACCACTGACCTAAACCAGACAAATCTGAATTGGAATGAAGAAGAAAATACTAGTGATTTCTGCATCTTTGAGAGCACAAGACACAAAATGGTGATAATTATTTCCAAATTAAATTTACACAATTCAGCTAAGATGCTTCATTTACTGAGCTTCAACTAAAGCAACAGTAATATTTACTAATTTTGTTTAAAAGAACTATAACCCAAAGGACACAATAAACTGTTAGAACTATAAAGAATGTTACAGGCAAAAGTACCACTGACTACTAACTTCAGCATCTGATTTGGTTCATAATACAGTGCTAAGATATCCCATATTAACTGTACCCAGTGAAAAAAAGAAATGTTACATTCATCCATGCTTATCAATGCAGAATAGTAAAAATATTCAAACTGAATGATATTCATGAGCAATAATGGTATTTTTCACTTATTGCTTGCTTCAGTGCCTCATTCAGCTCTAATATCTGAACTAGTCGTTTGATCAAAGCTGGAACAGAAGCAGGCTTTCCTGCATTAATCATCAGATCAACTTGAATCTTAAGTATCAAACCCATTTTTCTGACCAACGCAAACACTTATGATGACAAATAGCCGTTTTGTTTTTATCCAAAGTATTGACCCAAGGATGATACAAGTTGGTACCTTCATACCAGAAGGCAATCATAAAAGGCTTTTTAACTTGCAGTTTACATCACAAGCAGATCCCTTCCTTACATCCATAACTCCATTAACTTCTAGCAGATCATACTGTGAAATACAGGCTTAAGCTAACTTTAGAGATATGATACATTATCTGCTTGTAAGTGAACACACAGCAAAGCTATTATGTAAGTTATGGACTCCAACTGAATAAGCAGCTGTAATTACGTGTTAGTATTACAGAAGTTTATATTAGGCTTGTTCCCTTAAACTGGGAAAAAAACCCCAAAATAAGCTACCTCTCACTTTGTATGTACTGTGAACATAACTAGAATTCTACAAATTCGTATCCTATCTTAATGTGGCCTATCTTCCCTGCATAGACAGGTCTAAGAGAAGCAGCTATAGAAATAACTATTAACACAAAACTCCTACCACGAAAAAGAAAAATGGAGGGTTAATACATCCTATATCTCAGAGGCTCTGTGTATGGTTTGAAAATACAGAGCCTGGCCCATGCCTTCCTACTCTAAGGAGGAAGCCACAAGAAATTTTGTTCAAGCAGGTACAACTTGTATAGCTGTTGGGAAAACAGCGTAACTAACAATAAAAATGTTCAAGAATCTTGTGAATTAAAATTGTTTCACTGGTCAATGATGTTCTCATCCCTGAAACAAGTTCACTTAGTGTCCCACAAAACTTACCAGGAATGAGCTGTGGGGAGAAAGATCTTTTAAAGATTTCATGATGAAAAAGCAGAACTGCTATGTCTGCTATTATCTCCCTCCTCAGCTAGGTCTCAATACCAAGCACATGGCAGTACAGAGAGACAACTAATTCTCCAAGTGTCTCTGTACCATGGCATCAGGGGACAGGAGAAAGACAGGTGAAGGAGCAAGTTTGGTCTGATGGTGCTTATAAAGAGGTCTGCTTTACTGTTGTTGGTCTCAAAACTGTTAAAGGGAGAAATACCAGTCTGATTATAGACATCGTGTCAAAGTTGCTGTAATAATGGGCTTGTTATCCACACTTCTCCCAATCTTCCATGCTGAAGACACATGAAAGAGTGCACAAATGAGTTATGCTCAAGTCCCTTTGTCCTGGTTTTAAACTAATCTGATCATGTTCTCTACTTCACAGGAGTTCAGACATCTGCTCCACAGCATAGCTATTTCATGTAAAAGTTTATTAAGATTTTCAGGCAACACAATCACTTCACCAAAAGCTCTAGAAGGACTGCAAACAGATTTTTCTTCGGGCAAACTTGAGAAGCTTAAAAGAAAAAAATGCTTGAGAATGAACCAGAAAGCATGGGGAGTAAAACTAGAACTTTACCTTTGTTGTATAAACTCCTCCATCACAAAATGTTCTCCAAATGCCACATACAACCATTGAATTTATAGCATCTCTCTCAAATCCATATTCACTTCTGTTACAAATTTGCCTTCTGGGTTTTAAGTTGTGCCTGCATGGTATGCATTCAATGACTTAACTTATAACATTACTTTAAAAATCCTAGAATTTAAAAGAGAATACCTTGAAAGTATGATCCAAGCGTAATTTGGAAAGCAGCCTTTTCCTATTGTCATTCAGCATACCATCAATTTTTCTCATATGAGGCAAAAGTAGCTCATCTAAAAGACACATAAAAAACCCATAGCAATTGATTAAGAAACACAAAGTAATGAGATTCCTATTCCATCTATACTTCTACCCATTAACGTACAATGTGGAAGTAAAAAATAATGCAATTTGCACATAAACGAATTTCAAATGTGAAGTGAAAAATCTCTTTTTAGCCTGCTAAACTGGTCTAGACGTTATGCAGTCTAATTGCTGACTGCAACCCTGCTCCTTCTCTGACTCTTCTTTGTTGAAAGGAAAAAAAATCAAGATAGAGCAATATAAAGCATAAATCTTAGAGACAATTTTAAACCATTTCCTAGATAACCCTCTTCTGTGCAATACAGCTGGCAGTTTTATGAAGACAAGTATATGTTTTAGACATTCGCTAATCCGTATTACAAGAGATGACCCTGCTGGTCTTTATAACAAAAGAAATTGAGGAAAGTGCTTCCCGATAAAAGTTACCTGATAAACAACTGTAAACTTCAGAATATACATTTGAACATAGGCATGTGGCCACAAATGAAAAATTGCAGCTCAGTATGGAGTCTTTTAGTTAAAAGTCAATTTCTTTGCTTTTAGTGGGACTACTGACATAAGGCACAGGCATGAAACCTTGAGGTGAAAGTGTGCATTGATGCACAACCAGAGCAAACCAGGAAAGGAGGTCTAGAAAATAGGGGGTTTTTAAATACAAGCAATCAGAATATAGTACAAAACAACAGCCTGCAACTAAATATGTGAAATGTTTGCTCTTTTGGAGACCTGTATACCTGAGTGTTTTGCTAAATTTTGAGAAATAAAACAGTCCACTAAGGTAAATAAGTCCAGACATTTTCTCCTCAAAGAAAAAGTGGAATACAATTGTCTTTGATCAGAATTTTAAGGTTTCAGAGTTTGAAAAGATAAATTTTTAATAGTAGCAACAATCAGAACTACTTATAAGAGTATTTCTTCAGAAGGTGGTAAACACACAGTTGAAATCTGAAATAAATGTTTGCTATGGGTATATAGCTAAAAGTTTGGTGGGGTTTGTTTTTATTTTTAAAAAAAATCCATTTGCATTACTGACTAACAACCTTACAATCTAATAAAAATGTGCAAATGTTAAACATACTGTACCATTGCTCTTTTCCAAGGCTTGCATTGTGTCTGGATCCAAGGCAATGCTAACAAGCAACTCCATGTAGCTCTTAAAAGTCTCTTTCATAGCTCTTGTGTTCAAAAAGCGAGTAACGAGGGGAGCTGGAGGTACGAGCTCTGAAAATTAATGGGAATATAATGATTTTTTTTCCTTCAATATCCTCCAAGTACTTGCATTTTTCGAAACTGAAGGTTTCTCTCTTAAAACACAAGTGACCCCTACTGGTATCCCAAGAGATTAAAACTCAATGCAATCAGAAATAATACACGCAAAAAACAGGTACAAACACCAAATCTGGTATAAACGGCGCATTTTTTTTTAGAAACACATACAATTATTTGTAACTATTAGCATTTACATTATAAGATTTTAGGGAATTTAAACATTTTTCTGTTATTGTAGATGAAAGTCCAGAGAAAAGGGATAACAAATAACTTCAGTTGGGGAAAGTGCCCTAAGTGCAGGTTTCATGTCAATGCAAGTACCTATTAAAACCACAGAAATCAAAGTAGCCCAACAGAAAAACATTCAAAAGCACTAATGTCACTTAGGAGCCCACAAACCATCCAAGTCAATCCACCTAACTGTCCAACTCACAAAAAACATGTAAAACATTTTTTATCGGCAAAGCAATGTAGGCATATTTGTGCTTATTCTGAGGAACCTTTTATTTTTTCATGGACAGCAATTTTAAACATGCACATGGAGTAGTCATGAGTATTAGTAAGCATTCTGGAGCTTTTTATAGGCTCCACGTACAGTACCAGTATTTTGCAGTAATTTAGCTAGCAAGGCTGTTAAACTTTCTCAGGTATTCACATTTCTATGGGTGACTGTCATCACCAGGTTACTTGACATTTTAAATATGGACAGTTGTACATATTAATGGTTATTTGGGTAAGTTTGCTTGAAAAATGTTATTTTACAGGTGCTGCCTTCAGCAGAGGCACTGTTCCAGTCCACCAACCCTCACTCATCTGTAGTTAAAAGTCAGCAAGGCCAACGTGCTTTGGAAATACTGCAATACAAAGCATGGGCACTACACAGTTTAACTTCAAACATACAGGAAATAAACAAAAAACTGCAAAACCCACTGTACATCTGCTACCACAAGTAATCTCTATAAACACAGTACACTTCAAAAATTCCTTTCTGTTCTGGAGAATTACTGCAAATGTCGTATCTCAATTTTCCAAGACACTGTGAAGGTCTCAGCAAATCTGCTCAGCCGGCTGCATTTGAACAACTGGCATTTAAACAAGCCAAAAAGTCAACCGCTGCTTCTCCTTAGGTTTTGAAAAAACAACAGTAACATCTGAATTCTGCCCACATCTGCATGCAGACAGGCATTACAGGAATGTTATTTTAGACATGACATGGCACTGCAGTGGAAAATTAATGAAGAATTCAATTCTTGAGATGTATTCTAAAACCCAATCAGCTCCTTCTCCTGCAATTGTACCTGTCTTAGAAAGCAAGCAGTAAAAATATATTTATCTAATTGATAAACTACATTTGAGGTAACTTCAGTTGCACACATTTGCGCATACACAAACACATAAAATGTTTGAAGAAATCAACTTTTTGTGGCACTGTCAGATTTTAATGTTTTTTTCCCTGCGGCTAGTAAAGAAAGATTTGCCAGATTGAGCAACATATTTTAATAATACTAGTTTCAGTTAATTTCAAATAGGCCTAGATGCTAACAATAATATCTTACTCACCATCCTCATCACTCTGGGCCTCAGGTGAAGAATCAGACTGGGAAGACGAAAACTCTTCTTTCCACTTTTTCCTTTTCTTTGGTGGTGGTTCGGCCTTTACCTTTGGCTGTTTAGCTTTGGGTTTCACAGAAGAGACTTTTGTTGCTGTTGGTTTTGGTGTTGGTGGATCAGGGGTTTTGTTGTTATTGCTACTACTAGGTTTGCAATGAATAGTCCTGCAATATTATGAAGATGATCTTTATGAAAATAATTACCACACAAGTTTTGGCATTAATAAAATAGCTATAGTCTTGTTTAACCAGAATATATTCCCCACGGATTATATATACTTAATTTCATTATCACACCTAACTAGGATTTAGGTCATACACACTATACTACTATATTTTTGATATAATGCTTAACAATTATTCTCAACTACCTATGATTAAATAGTATTCCAATTTTCCAACTAGATAAACAGGCACAGAAAGCTTAAATTGCCCAATGTTGGTAGAATTTATGAGCTATAGGAGATTGGAGCTAATATTAAAATTATTTAATAAAAAAAAAATCAGACTCAACAGACTTGAACAAATACTAGCAATCAATGAGATTCACTGACAAACTGAAGTTGGGATATTGTATCCATACAAAGATGGGAGAGAATATCATCCAGGTAAAAATGCAGGAAATGCAGGATTTTGAGGACTGAAATAAGAAACCAGACAACTCCTCTCCTTTCTCTTCCTACCACTCAAAACAGGAAAGCAAACAGGAAACTTAATATCATAAATACAAAGTTATGTACTTTAGGACTAATAATGCACTACAGTTTTGAGAACATGGAGAACACAATTCTGGGAAGCACCAGGCAAGATTTTTTTGTCCAAATAGGAAAGTGCAAATGGGAAAGCAGTGAAATGTATAGTAGAAGCATTGTTAGTATCTTCTGGAATATTGTGAATAATTCTAGTCAACTGGCAGAGGTGAAGATTTCAAACTGAAATGGACAGAGACAATAGACAGGATGATTAGAGGAATGGAAAGCCTGCCTTAGACAAGGAAGTTGGAAGACCTTGATTAATCCAGCTTAGGGAAATGAAGACAGAAGTGGAATCTGACTGCTCTCCAGAAATGCATCATGCAGTAAAAACACCAGGGAAAGACACACATAAAAGCCAAAAACAGTATTGAGAGGAGAATATATGGATAAAATCAAATCATGATCGTGTTTCGGCTAAAAGACAGGATTGTTTCAGAGCACTAGAGGAACAGGTTCTGGAACAGACTTCTGGAGCCCAAAAAGCATCAAAATCCTAGCTAGTTTTAAGTGGATCACAATCATTTTATAAAATTGATTATCTGATGTCATCGCTTGCTTTGAGAGCAAACTGGACTTAAACCCCCATTCATTTCTTGAATGAAAAGCACTGTAGTTTTTTTATTACTATTTACTAACATCTGATGAGGAAAATATATCTGCATTAAATTATAATTATTGAAAAGCCATACAGAGAGAAAAGCTTCAGGTATCATCTGAAGTTGTAAGAAAATAAAATAAGCTAAGCAATAAAGCGCAACAGAGTTTGTACAGTACAGAATCTGCAATCTTTTCCAAAAGCACAATCAAAGGTCAACACAAAACACAATAGCAAAACCCTTAGCAAGTGACTTGAAGTGAAAACCATGTCAGAACGAGGTGGCAGAAGAAATCTCAGAGATAACTAAAGTACCTGTGTGAGAGACACTTACAGTCATAACATTCTGCAGGACTAGTAGTATATTTTCTAGAATAATCAAAACCATACGAAGTTTGATTCTTTACATGGCTCTCCAGAGCAACAGATTTGTTTGGGTTTTATTTATCCTTGTTGGTGGTTTAAAAGCAATACTACTGGAATTTCTGATCTTAAGGCATGAATAGAGGTGACGTGGGATGACTCAAAGCGATAAGGCCTTTTGGGGTGGGGGAGGTAGGGCAGGTGCAATAAGAAATACCCTCAGTGTGCAAGGACATACAAAAGAAGGAAAAACATCCTTGTGACAACCAACTTCAACAAAGAACTTCTGGATTTAAATTATCTTTCCAGGATTAAGAAGAAAGCACAGTATTTCTAGTATACTGGGACAGGACAGTCATGAAATCAATCCAGAAGAAACATATCTAACTTGCAAAGTCCATAGGATAGGAGAAAACAACACACAAAAATTTAAAATCATTACACCTGTAGGCTTCTATCCTTATATCGAGTAAGAGGCCAAAAGATGACAGAAATAAATAGCGTGTGAAGCCCTAACACCTCTAAAATGAATGGTTATTGCAATTCACAGATTCAAGGTAGGGAAATCTTGACATGGCAGTAATTTATATCTCATTTCTTAAAGCAAAACACAGTTCCCAGTTTCCAACTTAAAAATGAATTAGCATAATCCTGAGGTATAAGTCTTGTTTATTAAAATAGGTATGTTCTTAATATGAAAACAATACGGCAAAATGAAAAGCAAATTGAAATAAAATACCTTGCTGACTGTACAGGCTTGCTTCGTGGTTTTTTTGAACATACTCTGACATATTCCTTTTTGTTTGCATTTTCAATGAATTTCACATACACTCGTTTGTATTTTGTTTTTGCATCACCAAAATACCCAAGATACTAACAAACAAAAAAGAAAAAGAAAAAGTGAATACATAAGTGTTTCTGTTAAGTAAAATTATTCAGTTTAACAATTAAAAATGTAAATACTAAAGGAAAAAAGTCAGTTTAGAAACAACCTGGCTACATACAAAGACGAGCCATCCTACAGCATTTATAATTTGAGATAAATTCTCCAATGGATTTCCACATGTTTAAAGTAAGAATATAAGGCAAGAGATACTTTGGCCTTCATTTTCTCCTTTTATTGAATCCTCCCATGTGTTATCCCAAAGGATTATCTGCCTGGCAAAGGGCTGTCTGTTGAAATTGTATCCTACCTGCATCTTCCCGTTGTGGAAAGCAGTTGGTTCACAAGCCTGCTTCCACTGACTTTATTCTGGCTATGAAAACTTGTTCCTCAGAAATTCAAGAAAACTTTTCAACCTTTTTTTTCCCCCTCCAAGGATGCCTGCTAAGAATGTATATCAGAATCACATTTTATTTTGCTTCCTAGATTTCCATTAAGGAAATAAGTTCCCATGAGGCTTCATAAGGAATTTTTAAGACTCACACTGTTAGTAGCAGCAAACTCTCTCTGTCCATCTCGCACTTCAGGAACAAACTTTTGCAATAAAGCCTTCTGTACTTTCCAAATAGCTGGAGGCTCTATTCCTGTTTGCAAAGCATCCTGTAAGAACATAATATTATTTGCTAAAAGCAGCACTTATTTTTCTCCCAGAAGTGTGTTTGTGCATTATATTTTTTGAGCAAGTTACACAGGGATAAAATGGAAATAAGTCATTCAAAATTCCAAACCCTTCGTCATTATGTGCCATTTTCATCAAAACAGTATGACATGACCTACAATAAGTATAATGCAATCTACATATTTTACTTTCACAGCGATGAAATTGTGCCAACCAGCTTTGCCTATGGTGTGACATCTTAACTCATGTACTACGCAACTGAGCCACAGAACTTTATTTTTTAAAACAATCTAACATTTTTCCAGTTTTTTATTCTTTCACTCTATGAAATATTTTTAAACAAAAATGCAAGAATCACAACAAGTAGCAAAAAGCTTGCAAGTTCCTAGAGATTCTGTAGCAGAAGCCCAGGTACATTACAGCATGATGCTTGCACTAATGTGAAAAGAGATAGTTCAGTATGAATTAGTGAACCAGAGTTTACACTTTCAGTTCAGCTTAACTGTAAAAAAAACCCTAGTTTGAGTTGATTTTCTTCACATAGTTTGAGAAATAAACTATGTTAAAAAACAAGTTTGTAATTATTATCCCTTGTGAGAATTCTCTATAAATTCTACACACAAACTACTAACTCAGAAACTCTCTTTTTGGAAAACATATAGTCATGTATTGGTTCTTTTTTCATGACTGTTTAAATAACTATAATAAACAAACATCACAAAGCTTAAAATTCAAAATATCTCATAACAAAACTTAATCAGTTTTATAAGTAACAAGGGAATATTTTAAAACTCTGATAACATTTGTCTTACGTGACAAAGCTACATGAATTCATTTAACACAAACTCAAGAGGATGAACACATAGACAAGTAATCAAAAGTATTAGAAATTAATGGTAAGAATATTGCTGGCTATGATAGCAACAAAAGGAAAAGTAAACATGCAGAAGTAACAAGAACAAAACAAAAAAAAGAAATCAAAGACAACAAGGAACATTCTCATAAACTCATGTGAAGAGCTGTTCCGGTTGCTTATGGAAGCCATTTCTTGTTGGAATAACAAACAGAACCTCTTCCAAAAAAGAAAAAAAGACAACTCCAAGATCTTTTGCAAAAGTCCAAAAGTCGTTTCTTCAACACCTTACAGTTGAAAGCCTACTACTATCTTAAAAAAAAAAAAAAAGTAGTCAACAGCCTGTGAAAAATTTCTGCTTTTTAATATTAAAAAAAGGTAATTCCAAGTTCTAACAGAGGTTACCAGTACATGTATTTACTTTATTATGTATGTAGTATAAAACGAGTCACATACATACAGAACATACTCATAACCTGCACTAGAAAGACACCTTCAAGGCATTTTGGCAGCAGCCAGGGAATACAGAACAGAAACAGAAAACTAATCTGCAGCCTTTCCCCTTCTGGTAGTTTATTGAGGCTAAATTCACATGGAGGATTTTTCATACACAGCAAGTATTCAGATTACCTTTAGTGTCTCTATATCTTCAATCTTCACTACAAACTCATCACGTTCTCTGTACATGCCCTCTCCTCCACTGTCTGTATTCTCCTCATCAGTACATCCTTCCATTGCAACAGTTGCCTGTATCTTTGCCAACTGGTCTGAAGTCACGGCATCCTGTTGAGCTGCTTTTAAGGGGTCAGCTGGATTCATTTTCTCCTGCACAGTGACTACAGGAGCAGTTGTCTGTGGAGATTCCTGCTTTATTACAGCAGTAGCGGCAGCGGCTGCAGCACTAACAACTGCCACTTTTTCAGCTTCTGAAGAAAAAAATCCAAATTTTAGTTAAACAAATTATCAAGGATTAGCAATGTAAAATGGGAACTAGGTTTATTTTTCTTCTTTTCTGTTACAATACATATTAGAACAACTATTCTATGAAAAACATCTGTATTAAGAATTAAAATAGACTGTTATCTTGGCCACAACTAAACCTTAAACAAAACCAAAATATTGTAGCTAGTATACCTCTGTTTATATTAAACTGCAACATCTGTTAGCATCTAGAAATAACAAAGATGAATGCTTTAGAAAACAATTTGATAGTTACAGACATGATTGACAGGAAATACTGTTGTACTTTGTGTGACTAAGTAAATACAATAGTAAAGGTTACAACACTGAATCTTGTTTCCACTCTGCTGATAAGTCTTTTTAAATTGGATTAAGGAAAGAGGAATACACATGAAATGGGAAAACATTTACTGGTTGACTTTTGGACATTTATCATTTATATCTTGTAATAATTTAACTGGAAGTTCCAGATTAAAACTGGCAATATCCTAATAATTTTTAATATTAACAGAGGTAAGCAATGAGAACTGACGACCAAAACAAAGGGAAAGAACATTCTTCTCCTCCTCTAAGCCCCAGAGCCAAAAGAAACTCCCACCTTTCAAAATTATTATTCTTTCCCACTTGAAAAAAATTAGAATCCTTTTTAGATATTATAGTCATTTATACATTAATTTTAACACTGACTTGCTATCTAAAAGAAATCAGGTTATATTAACTATAGCATAATTACCAATATCACTTAGGAAACTTGGCTTCAAACTTGAGATTACAGTTTTGTTACAGTCACTGTTATTTGTTGACTTTTTCACTTGAAAAAAATAGAAAAAAGATAACGTGGCATATATTTTAATAAAAGTGATCCAAAACAAATTATTTAAATATCAAATTAATGTGTTGATACAAAAGCTATATACTAGATACATGAAGATTCATGAAATCAAGTCAGTAAAATTGCTAAGCCATGAAATACATTCTTCTGGATATATATATATCATATCACATTATTGCAAATATGTTGTATTTCTTTTTAAAGCTATGACAGCTTTAATTAGACATAGCATTATTGGTTCCCCAAGTATATTTACAGTCTTCAGAACAGCAGATAACTGTACATACACTACCTAATACTACCAACAAAAGACTATGTTTTAATATTTATCTTTCCATGCTTATAAGCAAAAACAGACAGAAGAAGGAATTACTAGAAAATCTACACAATACCAGCAAGTAGGAAAGAAGTCATTACTAAGCATCTTGTGCAACGTACAGTCTCGTATACAATAAAACAGGAAGGTGAACTCAAGAAACTCGTGGTATAAATAATGCAGCTTTATGAATAATAAAGAAGATACAATAATATTGTAAAAGAAATCATTGCAAATAAAACACTAAAACACTAATGGAACAAAAATCCTTTGAAATATTTCCTTAGCAAGTTGTACACAGACCGTGGCTTATTAAAGTTAACAAACCAGCCAGAGGCTCAAACTGTGACATTGTTCACATTTTGGCTTTCCGGGGGGAAGAAAGGTCACTGCTTTCTTAAGTACATATTCAACCAAAAGAAATATGAGGAACTTCATCTTCTGTAACAGACTTTCCAAAATGCATGAACTTAACATAATTCAATAGAAATATCCACAGAAGAAAACAGAACAGTAATTAAGATGAGGTGCTGTTTAGTATATCATGTATTCTGCAATATTTTCCTGGCATTTTAGGTCTGATTATTACAATTTAAGTTCAATTGTGTCATGTATTTTTCAGTAAATCAGGTCATTCTTGGAGAAAAAAAATCTCCTTTAATCTAAAAAGAAAAAAATTACTTTATTCTATTTATTCTCAGCCTATGGGTCGCGGGTCCCGAGAAGAGTTTAATAAATGTTTCATTTTCTCCCTGTGATTATTTTGGAAGGCAATGATATTTCTCTTGAATTAGTACAATTATGTGATTGGCTGGATAGTTTTTAATTGCTTACCAGAGGAAAACAAACTTCACTGAAAAGGTCTATCTAGGCAGAAATACGCTGTATGTTGAAAATACTTCAGAACAAAGCCGCATCAGTTAAAAGCTATGAACACTGACAATGTAACGTACAGCACAGATGTAATACAAGTGAAACTGAAAAGTGCGTGATCAGTGGTTGCTGCTTGCCCCTCCCTGCCCAAAACAACCCTTCCCAGATTTTGTTCTTTTGTTAGCAATGTATCAACACGAAGCTACAACGCTTTTGATTAATACGGCCGAAATCAAAGTCAAATGACTCCCATCTTGGACAAGACCAGTTAAACCAGTGCTCGGTTTACAAGTGCAAAAATTGTTTTCATGCACATATTCTGTGCAACTCTATCATCACAGACAGCACATGTTTAACTCCACCTAGGAAGAACTTAACCTCTGCTGATGGCAATTATTAATTGCCATCTCTTGCTAGATCTCTTGCTAGATTTTTTTAAAAATAGATTTAAAAGCTGATGGTTTCTTGAGGTTTCCAGATGAAAATCATATTTAGCATTCCAAGCCAGAGAAGAAGAGAACAGACACATTATTCCAATACTGGGCTAAAATAACTTTTTGGCATAAGAAGAGTCCTACTTAAGTAGCATGAAAAAGTTTATCTACGTATTTTCTAATTGTGGAAAATGCTAGTTTAGTTCATAGTCAACACACCTTTTGAACAGAAGCCTTAACTATGGCTGTGATTAAAAACAAAACCAATCAAAACCTTTACCTGAACTGAAGAGAGCTAAAATTATTCTTTATTTTTTTCCCATCAGCTACAGAAATCTCCTTCAACATATGCACTTGCAGTAACTGTTTTACCTGTTTTGTTCTTTCTGTCAGATGTATCATCCAGGGCTGACAATGCAGTAGAGATGCTCTTCTGAAGATCGTGGTTACCCCCCACAGAATCATCTTCATCAGAAGAAAACGAAGGCAACGTTTCTAAATTTTTCTTAAGTTCTTCATCAACTTTTTTGGTTGGACTTTCTCCACTAACCTCAGCAGCTACAGGTGGTGGTGGTGCTGCTGCTGGCTGAGGCTTTGCAGAGGACTGTAGGCAAGGGGCACGAACTATTTGGGTAACCGGTCGCCTAGTCCTGTTTGGCATTCGTACAGCTGGAGCTGAAAACTGTTGCCTAGGCCCAGACTTTAGAAAGTCTAAAAAAGATGCGATAAATCCTGTTTTGACCTCAGGCTGTTTTTCTTCAACTTCTTTAATTTTTTGCCTCATTCGTTCCTGATGCTGGTAAGTATCATAACAGCTTTCAGAAACAGGAGAAGAATATGTCAAACATGAGTCATTTCCTCTTGAATTTTGACGTTTACACTGTCCACTTCTTTTTACCTGTTTCTGAATTCCACTGTCATCTTCTGCAGCAGTTTTGTTCTGGCTTTTTCCTTTGCTTTTTTTCTTCTGAAGGTTCCCTTGAGTTAAATCTTGGCATTCTTCTTCAGTTCTACTAATAGTTCCATCTCCACTTCGGGGCATAGATAGCGGCTGCAATGGACCCTTTGACTGGTTACCTGCTACTGTACCATCATCACCACCCATATTAAAATCATTCTCTGAAGCAGCACTTTCTTCACTTAGACTCTTACTGCTTGAAGCAAATTCTGTGTCTCTTGCATTCAGTGTACCATCAGCAGAAACATCATTATCTTCTTCAGATTCATGACTGATGCTAGATTGTTTCTTAAGTGAAACAGCCCCTTTTTCTTGCTCTTCTTGACCAGGGCCAAGGGTGGGAGAGGTCATTCTTGTTGGTACGTTTTGATCAGAAGTTTCAATGTGTTGTTGCTCAAGGTTCACAGTTTTAGTCTGTATTGTTGACACTGGTGTAAGATTTATAGTAATTTGGCCTCCATTCAGAGAAATATTACTTATGCTTGCTGGCTTTCCAACTACAGTAGGTGAGGCACTGAAACCAGAAGACACATGTCTTACATCCATTGATCGGAACTGTGGTTTAGATTCCTCGCTATTTTCAACAGACTGGATTTCCTCGTCATTAGAAGCTGATTTGGCAAAGTCAGATGGTGTCACTCCACAGGCTGCTGCTGTTGCTGCTAAGATGTCATCTACGTTGGATAGTATATTCCTATCATCACTAAGAAGTATAGATTCTGGGAAACATATTGAACTAAGAGAAACAAACTGATTTTTTGAATCATGTTGATTTGTCTGAGTAAAATGATCTTTTGTTGTCAAATGTTGCTGTAGTGGTTTTGAGGGCTCAGAAATGTCCATTTTCATTACTTCTGAATTCTGAGTATGAAGCTGTTGCTGAGAATGACCCCCATTACTTTGAATAATATGACCATCCATCTGAAGGAATGGATGCGTCACCTGCTGAGGACTCTGTATTCTTTGCACTTGTGATGACGCCTTTGCTTGTCCTAAAGTTGACTGTAGTATTGACTGATGAAGAATCTGCAAGTCACAGGCCGACTCTAGTAGTACCTGTGCACTGGGCAAACACAGCTGGTGGCCATGTCTTAAAGCATGAGCTTGAACCTGCGATGGTGTACTAATGACTTGGCCTTGCTGTTCTTGAGCTTTACTTTCATGTACCTTATGCATAAGAGAATGGTGCTGGTTTAGTTCTTTAGCACTCACAGTTATTTGTGTTGTTTGCATTAAATTAGCTGTCTTTTTTAAATCATGGCTTAGGCTAGTGATATGGCCAATATGTTGTGACAGCTGTTCCACAGAATTGACCATTCTTTCATCTTTTTTTGTTCCTTGAAGAGGAAGTCCAACAACTTGATCTTCAAGACGAGAGTTACTTCTGATTACACTTTGAGAGTATCTGTCATCTGGCTTTGACACCCTATAGGATGCATCCTGAGCATTGATTTCCTCATCGGTTAGCCTTTGAGTGGAAGACTCAAGAGAAGCTTGCTGTTGCAATGCCTGCATATCCTGCATTGATAATTCTTCCTCTTGTTTTGACGAGGCATACAAATTAGAGTCAGACTTCCTTTTAACATATGACTTTGTTTCCGAGGAAGGCCTGTTGTTTTGCAGTGTCTGTGAATGAGCTGGGGATGCAAAAGGAGACTGGACAGATGGCAAAAACTTCTGAGACTGTGGAGAGGAGGATTCTTGTGACTGAGAGTTCTGAGAAGAATGTAAAGAAATATAGCTCTGACTAGGACTCGAGGCTGGAAGACTTTGTATCCGAGGAGAGGCATTAAAGGAAAGAGAAGGCGATGTTAATGTTAAAGACTGCCCTGAAGAATAGCTTTCTGAAGGACTAACAGCTGATAAAACTTGTGATTGAGATGAAAAACTAACTTGGGATTGGCTAACTGGAGATAAACCCTGAGAGTGACTAGAAGAGTAGCTCTGAGATTGGCTGACTGAAGAAAGTTCCCTCGTTTGCCCAGAGTAGTTCTCATTTGGAACTGAAGTCAATACCTGTTCCTCTGAGGAGTAACTTAGAGTTTGACTGTCAGAAGTAATAGTTTGCGATTGCCCAGAAAAAGTCAATGTTTTATACAGTGAGGGCAGCTTTTCAACCTTGCTAGATGAGAAATCCTGTGAGTGACTGACAGGTGGCACATTCTGAGCCTGGGATGAAACATAGTTTTGGGACTGGCTGACTGACAAGAGGCTTGGGAGCTGTGCTGTAGAATAGATCTGTGCTTGGCCTGTAATGACAGAACTCTGGTTTCGTGCGGTTTTGGCATAGCTTTGTGTCTGCACAGTGGGAGCCACACTTTGAGGTTTGGGTGTCTTCGTTGACCTTGGAGGCTGCTTTGTGGAACAGTTTTTCACTTTCGCTGTGGAGGCAGATGGAAAACCAGGTGATGGAATTGCAGATGTGTATGACTGAGCAAGTTCCACTGTGACTTGAGAAGTCTTCTGCTGTGGTCCTCCATTGCTCACCTGAGTAACATCTCCAACTGGACTGCAGGACAATGCTGAGTGCCTAGATGTATCTTGAAAACTAACTCCACTTGTACTCGTTAAATAGCTGTGTAAGGAATGCTGTGAAACAGTCAGTTGCGCCTGAACGGACTGAGTACTTGAAGGCCGCTGATGGTGTTTAATAACACTACATTCTCGCTGAAGTGCTCTATCGATAGAAGCAGTGGAACCAGTAAAGACAGATGTGCTATACGCCTGAGAAACCTGCTGAGCTCCTCCAAGGGTCGAAGGCAACAAACTAAATTGAGGTTGCAAAAGATGGGGTGCAGATTCTTGAGCAGAACGATATGTTGATGACTGAGGTGGTATACTGGTACTTAAAACAGAACTGCCTAGGCGCTCAAATGTCAAAGCCGTTGGAAGAGTGCCTTGCGATGTTTTAATCTGTAATAAAGGATCGTGGGTAGTTAAGAGACCATTGGATGTAGCACTAAAAGTAGTATCTTGAAGAGTAAGAGAAGGAGTAGTAGCAAAGTTTCTGCTGCTGAAAGTGTTGGGATGCTGATATGCTGATAAAGCAGATGTTGGTGGAAATGTTCCAGAGGTTGGCAAAGCTCCAGTAACAAATAGTTCTGCAGCTGTTGAGGAATGCATACCTGGAAAAAACAAAAACAAAACAAGAAGGAAAAAAGAGCATAAGGGAGCTTTACAAGTTACAACAATCTGCATTTCTATAACTCATTTAATTGTAAGATCTTACAGTATTTACAAATACAACCTTCTTTAGAATCATCACTATTTTCAACAAAAACATATAATGGGAAGCACTTATTGTGGGTATTTTTCAAACTGGAAGTGCAGGATTTTTATAAGAATTCCAAATTCTATACCTATAGTGAAGTGCCAAGGGAAAAAAAAAAAAAAAATCATATCCTTAAATGCAAATTGTGGATTAAAAAAGTTGTACAAGATTAATTCTGCTTTGAAACTGAAAGCTCCGTATTAGTTTTTATTTCAGTTTGAAAAGAAGTTCATAGTAGAGGACAACTGATCAAAAGCCCTGGACACCTTTAATACACTGTAAAAAGGCAAAATTACACCTTACCAATTGTAATACATACACAGTTAAAGGAGCAATTCCATCTCCTGCATTTACCAATACTTTTATAACTCGCTTTATGTGAAACATTTCAGAGTTTACAGTGAAATAGCTAATGGCCTATACATCTTGCAATATATGTTTCTTAAAGGAGGGCTCTGACTTTCAATACAAAGTATAAATATGATTTGTAGGATTTCTAAAGTGAGAGTCCAAATTATCCACAGACAGCAACTCTCCGCACAGTGCAATAGCAACTATCCAACTGAAAGGTATAGTATTACTTATTTGCATCCGGACATTGGTATGACATCCTGCCTTAAACAAGATTTCTCCGCAAAATATACTACTCCAACTGAAACAGGAGTGTGAAATTCCCTTGCAAGCTTTGGGGCTTACACCACTGATCCATATCATTCAGGGATTTTCACCCTGTGACTTGTAGGTACTGGTGAAGTTTGTGTACTATTTCTGAAGTCTATGAACAAAAGTGAAGAAGGCAAGTTTATTCTCAGAGAGGCTTAAACGTCTTGTAAATCAATCAGTAACGCAATCAGTTTCCACTGGGGAATTTACAAGGGGACACAAATCAGAAAATGTTAAAATCACTGGTATAATTCGACCTTTTTCAGTTCGTCTTGGATACTTAAAACAGTGTTGAGCTTTGGATCATCTAAGAATAAATAAAAACCCTCTCAGTAAATAAAGCTTGTTTTGAGACAAATAGTTCAGTAAAAAAAAAAATCAATTTTTATTTTAAAATACATTAAGTCCTCTTAAACTGACTGCAACTTAATCATCCAATTGCTTTGGAAGTTTCAGATGAAGCTGCGAAAGAAAGTCTTTGTTTCTCCCTTTCAGTTCAAGACAAACTGATATGAGGAGATGTGATACTGAAGGAATGCCAAGGTATTTTTCATTAGTCAACAATAAGGCCTTTCTGAGTAAGAAAGCATAAGCAGTGTTTTAATTTTTTTTTCCCCCTATTCCAAAAAACTGCAACAACATGTACAACTGGGTTCTTCTTTACTGATCCTTACCACTAACACAAAGATAGGGACATCCAAAAGCATCAAACGGGAAGAACTTACACCTATCTTAACTGCAGATGTTAATTTCTCATCTAACCTGTATTTTTCCCTTCTCTTCCACAAATTAAAGCACTTCCTACTACACATGTAATTTCTTAAACCAGACAAGAGCCAGTCACAGAAGCACTACTATGGCAGAGTTGCTGGGTTTTATATTTTACTTTTGTACAGGAGCAGACAAAAGATATGGCAAAGGTAGTAAGTTGTGTGCACAAGCACCCCCCATTACCCTGAGAAATCAGGATGCCTGTAACACATCCCACACATCAAAGGAAGACTTGGTAGGACAATATAACAAACACATTGTCCTCTTTCACCCAAAAATCTGCAGTTGCAGGGTTTGGAGAAAAAAAAACAAAGTAAAAACCCTTCTAAAGAAAGGTCACCTTGAAGAGCAAAGAGCACTTGTTTTCCCCTCATCAAAAAAAATATGTAAAAGACAAAGCTCTCAAAAGACGCTTGGGAGGATTGAGGGATATAGAAAAGCAGCAAAAGTATTAAAGGACAACAGAAAGCTCAGAGACCTGGCAATATTGAAAATGGCCTTACTGATGAGTTTTTAGTAATGAGTACTGAGAAGCGTCTCAATCACTGCTATCAACATCAAACCTGACCCACAGCATGTCTCCTCATGCTTCACAAGTCATCATTAGGCACGCTGCAATGGAGGAAATGCTAGCACAAAGAGAAAAAAAGATTTCTTCCCAGCTGACAATCTGATGTGAGGATAGGTCATCACAACTCCAAACACCACTAATTTATACTAAGTTTTTTTTACAGACTAACAGTGTGCATCTTCATCCGTGCTCTCACATATCTGCTTTTGTCCATGGTGAATAAAAAGTCCTATTCTCTCTTCTCAACTTTTTGAGTAGCTCTTCACAGAATGCAGCTGCACATTACACTTAACACACCAAGCGCATACTCTGAACAAAAGGATTGTTCAACTCTTCCCTCTTTCTACCTTATGTCTCCTCCCCTAAATCAGAACCAGTGATCATACAGCTGCACTGAGACACAGATCAGCTCGCTGATACAGTGGAAAACCATCCCACCAAAGGAAAAAACACACCCAAACATTTTCTGTCAGACCAGTGACTAGATCTGATTCACTGTGCAGCTGCATAATCAGTACATAAGATTAAGCAGAACTTGAAGCTACCCACAGATACAGTAGCAACACTTATCTTGGTGTGGCTGCCTATAGCAAGCTCAAAATATGCAAAGTTTCCTGCTCTGCACAGAAGGCTTGACAGATGGGGGAGGTTTATAAGAGGCAGTCAGTCTGCCAAAAGAGATGGCCTGTTTGTTTATTTGTAAATTAGATCACTTATTTTTATGCAACATGCACCTCAGACCTTCTTTTTGAGAGCACCTTTCTCATTACTTCTGTGTACAAAGGAGCTAAAGTCATCCATAGGCTTTTAGTAGTAATGTCACAAAAGAACAACTATGACAGGGAACAGAGTTTGAGAATGAAAGATCTGCTAGGGCGTATGGGTAGTCTACCTGAATATCCTTATGGTGTTACTAAGACTAATTCCAAACAAAGTTGGAGAATAACTTTGATTCGTTAGGCAAAATAATATCCTATACATCTGAATCCCTTCTAAACAGTTAGAACTTCTGCTTATATAATTCTTCATCTAATATAATTGCATTGATTTTGAGATATTTTTAAATACCAGTATGGAAAAAAGGTAGAAGACGTGTAGCTTTTTCAGCTAGTCAGGGTATTTTTGTTTCAAATTCTCTCAGACATTCAATATAATCATGACAAAACTTTATTTCAAGAGAAATTTTTCACCTGTCTGCCAGGAAGGAGCCCTGAATTGTGGTAAAAGGGTAGATCCTGAAGAGACTGCCTGAGCGGTACGAGACTCAATAGCAGAGAGAAAATTCATAACTGAAGAAGTTTCCTTAGTGTTACTTCCAGCACTGTGCATACTGGTATCAAATATTCCTGAAAGACCTAGATAAGAGTGGAGGGAAATGAAACAAAACAAACAGACAATTCAGATGAACTTACAAGAAGCTCAATCAAATAACGAGGATATGCATTCATAATTCACTAAAAATAACCTATGAAACATTAGCAATATTATTAAAGTACATTGATTTTTCAGTGTTTAACTGTTTTACAGTGTTGCAACTGTAAACTGGAACCTGAGTACACATTTTAAAATCTGTATCAAATATGATGCTTAAAAACAATATTTAGGTCAACCAATAAAATTCCTCCTTCATCTGAAGATTCACTGTTCCACTTTTTACATTAACTGCTTAAATGTTCAGAATTCCTTCTGAAATGGGTTCAACTTCTCTGTAACAACCTTTTCCCCCTTCAGGCAGCTTGTAGCAGTTTGGATTTCTCTGCAGGACTGGCACACGAAAAGCAGTTTTGGTTGCATTCCCTGTTTCAAACACATACTTTTGTGTGTTCCCTGTTGCTCACACATTTCAATGGTAGGGAGCTCAATGAGAAGCACTGGAGAGATCCAGAGTTTTGAGTAACTGAGATTATGTCAAGACTGTAGGGTCTGCACCCTGAAACACTCCCTGCAGTTCTGACCTTCCATCATTCTGATTAAGGACCTGGCCAAGAGACTGCAGATTCCAGCCAGCACATGAACTCAAACTTCTTTCCTTAGAAACCGGGTTGCAAAGCGAACGTGAAGAGGTCATGCCCTGTCTTCTCCTGACATGGAGACAGGATATCATCAGGATCACAGAAAGATCCGGATGCAGATATAACATCACCTAACCTGCTACTATATTTAAAGTAAATTTTAACTTCCCCCCAGCACTATGCCTTCATTTGCACATGTAAGCACTAGCAACAGTGTGTTTCAACTTGCATTAGTTTTCATCTAAAAGAATTGGCACAATTTCTGCAGCTGGCTTTGAGACATACTTAATGTTTGACCCTTATGCACAGACTAAATCCTGAAAAGCTGTATTTTAAAGAATAAATGCAGTTTCTTTAAGAACCAACAATAAATAATTGAGCATGACCCCCCGCTTACACATACTTTCCTTTCCACTTAGGACATTTTGATAAAAGCTAACAACTAATGGTTAACTTTCTATTACAAACTCAGCTTTTTTAATACCACTCGCCACCACCTGCACGACAAACTCCCTCTCATTATAAAATTCATCAACTTGAATCCAAATTATGTAAAAGTTGGGGTTTTTTTCCTTTAGCTATTTAAGCTGTAATGTCATGATATGGACAGTTACCAGTAGGATGGTGTGTAGTAGAGTATCCAGGAAGCTGATGAGAAGCTGTGTATGTCTGTCTGTGAAGATCTGTTTCTGAATGTGATGAATGTCCTCCTCCATAGCTTAAGCTAAGGAAGAAATTAAACATTATTAACAAAAAATATACAGCTATAGAAACAAAGTACAATTACAAAATCCCAACCACAAGCCAAAAGTTGCATAAATGAGAACATAAGCCCAAGACCTGACAGATGTGGTTGTGCTAGGATATCACTAAAAACATTAAGCAGTTAAAAAAAGTACTACAAAACCTAACGAGCCAAAAGGGGAAAAAACCCACAAACCTTACAAAAATCAAAGTTGATCACGGAAAAGTCTACAAAGGCCTAGGTCAGAAAGACAGAGGTCTTCCTAGTTCAACTCTAAGAAACACTGGATGGACACTTTTTGTAATGACTTACTGATGTAAAAGCTGCAAAGCAGATGTCTACAAATTCATGCCCACTTTAACATTTCAATTTCTGATTCCATTAAAACTTACAGGACTATATATAATACAGAGGCTGGAACGACTAGGAAGCTGTGGGAGAAATAAAATTTTAAAGATTTTGTTAATTTTGTTACGATTCTAACAAAATTGACAGTGAGAGCACTAGTAAGTGACAAATCTCAGTCTTCAGACCTCCTAGCATTAAATATAAATTAACGATCCATAGTTTTTATTTAATGTTTTGCAATGAGTCATCTAAATTAACATAATGTTTTAATCAGCCTTAATGGAAGCAAACTGAAAATACACAGTGTCTGGGCCCATGCAAAAGCAATAATGCAGGAAATAAAGAAATGCGATCTAAAAATCAAGCAACATTAGGAACCTGCCAAAAGTGCTACTGATTTCCAACTTAAAAGGCAGAAAGCAGGAGGAAGCAAAACAAAATCCCAAAGCTTTCAAGCTTCCACAGATTCAGCTCTATACAGCACCTGTCAAATGGAAAAAATGAAAGCCAGCATGACCAAGTAACCATTTATCTTCTTCTCTTCTTGCCTTTTGGACATCAAGTTAATAGGTAGCCACTACTTACTCCAATGCACATGTGGGATTGCTTTAAGTTCAAAATTCAATTGTAAACAGATGCCAAAAAAACCCAAATGGCGAAACCCACAGCCCTCCCCGCTGACTGCTGTAAGGGAGACTTCCCTTATCCTCTTTCATCCCCTGGGATGAGGGGGCAGCCACTCTGCATAAGGGAAAAATTGAACACTTGATGCCAGGAATCATGACATCATGGGAAACTTTTATAGAAGTCACCAAATAATATAAAAATTGGCACCACTACTGGATTTGCTTCATTTTCATTACGATAACAAGAAGAGGCAGTGGAGATCTGATGAGCCTGTAAGAGGACTGTGACCTCCACCATTACGAACTAGCAAGAGCCTGACTGTAAGGGACACAACATTTTAGACTTCTAGATTAACTTCCACACCTCAGATGCACTAACAGGGGATATAGTTTCTGTTTCGACTAAAATCCTTTGAAAAAACAAAGAACCTCAGCTACTGCTTTTCCCTGTTGCACTCACTGTCTAGCACTTTAACACCTTTCACAGCAATAATTAATTTTTAGAGAATAGCCAAACCTCAATTCAGAGTCAGCACATCGACGTGCTCATGCTGTAGAGGACAGATCTTTGTGCAGTTCAACAGTATGAATCAGCAACGGATTCCTATTACATGCTGACTGAAATCTGATGATTTGCATCATTACTATGGACAACTGGCAGGCATGATTGCATGATGCTGTAGGTTATTTTTTTTATTTACAGCATTAAAAATGTTTAATATTTCCAGATGAAAGAAATTACAATAGTGTTCTGCACATAAAACATTACGCATGCAATAAAGCCAATTTAAATGCAAATATTTTTACAAGACAAATTTTAAAGTTAAGGTGGTTTGGTTTTTTTGAACAGACTTGCATGGCTAGAAAAAAAAATAATTAGGACACATGATGTTTTCTTCAGATTTTTTTTAAAAATAAAAATGCACTACACAAAAAAACACATTTCTAAACTGAATCATGGTAGTGCATGCGTTGTTATCACTGACACAAATGCTGATCTTGTGAAAACTTTCCACGTGTTTTACTCAGCTTTACTTTCAGGCTTTCTTAAAGCATTTACCTACATAAAAGTATGTGATGCTGACTTTGTTTTCATATACATTTAAAAAGCAAACTATGAAGTCACACTACATACATCGCTCACACAGCCGAACACCTTCCTTTTCCCGTTTCAAGTATTTTCAGGTTAAGAGGCATGTTTGGCATCGTAGTGGTGTTCTAGGAAAGCAAGACTACACTTTGCAGCAAATGTCCTTCCAGATGAGGTGAGACCCACAAAAACTGGTACAGATTACATCAAGTAATATTGCATTGTTTCTCCTCTTACATTGTCACAGCAGAAGGTCATGAGCAAAAAGTGGATGAACTTCACTTTAAATTAACCACCTGAAAATTTGGGAAATTGAAAAATTGGCTTGCTGGTTTTGGGTTGGGTTTTGTTCTTTTTTTTTTAAATTTGAAATTTCTACTTATTCTGATTGTTTGGTAAAGACTGTGATTAATTTGCCCCTCTTCACTCCCTTGCAATAAACACCTTTTTTTTTGTAAAGGGCAGGTACAGCATACGCAAAGACTACCAGATAGCTTAACATGCAAGCTTGTAGACATGAGGCAGAACACTGTGAATGATAAAAGCAACTTGCAAAAGAAATGTAGACAAAGACTTTGTAAAACGGAGGACGCGGGAATTAACACTGGGATACAAAATAACCTCTAGGCTTAGTATCTCAAAAACATTGTTAATTACTAGAATCTCAAATTTTAGTAATTATGAGCATCATAAGAACACTCAAAGTATATGATGCCTTTGTGTTTTTAAATACAAACTCCCAGGTCATAGTTAATGCAACCGCAACCTCAAAAATGAATCTGTCTTTCAATAAAAACATTGTATTTATTAGAACAGTTAATTGTTCATTGCATAATTACTAGTTGCTGGAATGTAGATTCTTATCTCAAAAAAACTCTGCATATATGTATGCCTTCAGTTTACATAAGCTTATCCTAAACACAAGCATAGCAACCTGAAAGAAGATTACTGCCTTAGGGTTTCTTTTTATAAAATTTAGCTTTTAAACAGACAAACTTATACAGCATGTAATTTGTATATCAAAAATACATTAAGCATGGCAAATAAAATTATGGCTATCTAGCCTTTTGTACTCTGGTTTCAAAGTTTGTAAAAGTTCCACATGAGTTCTCACTTGACCTGAAATGTCAGATTAGTTCCTGAGGAGACACATTCACATTACTTGGTACTTTGTTATTTGTTATCATTAGTTGCTATAAAGTGTTCCAAAAACACTTCCACCTTATCACTGATAAATCAGAGATTTCTCACTTCTACTGGCATAGTTAACTGCACAATGGAGTGATTACTGCTAGAAAGTAATACAAATCTGACATACAAGATTGGAAAACAGGTCTCCCTGAAGTATTTTTCATTGAAAAGTTCCATTCAATTTTAATATAATATTTAAGTGTCCTTTTAGAGATGTCCTATAAAAAGCCATCATTATTTGTCATAATGATGCAATCAAAAAATCCTTAGGACAATGAAAGTGAAACGACTCAAATATTAATCTGCTTTTTTCAGCTACATCAATTGGGTTAATAGAAGATTATTACCTCTCCAGTAAAATTTCTGGAAGAAAACGTATAGTCATTGCATTTATTTGTTACTAAAATACTTCAACCTTGATTTACAACTCCTTTTTGTTAGCCTGGATAAAGTCTTTCCTGAATCAGCTCTTCACATATCTCTTTATATTGCTATTCTTATTATAATTTATAATA